CACAGGTGTAAGCATACGTGTTCTGCATTTGTTATGACAGTGAAACCACAGACCGGGGATCCCAGAAACGTGAATACAGGTATCTGGCCCTTCAATAGTTTCCTTTCAATTGTGTGTAAGTACACTGCGAACGCTAAATGCACTATCGTGTGTGAGATAATTCATTGTATCGAGTCTTCCCTGTCCGTACTATTTCATTCGTACATCTTAATATTTCTAATCGTTCTTATGCGAATATATATATATATATATATATATCAGCTCTTCGTGATTATGTGCTATTTTTTACTAAGAAATTTGAAGTTGGTGTGCGTGTTGCTGTCCTCGTCTGCTTCCAAGAGTGAGTTTTTCAAAGTGTATAAAACAATTCGCATTTGCAAAACTACAAGTGCATACTCATGTCGTAGAACACTGTACATTTATATATAAACAAGAGGGGTGTGAGTATTTGTAGTAACATGTATTCTGCCACTCGCCTGATCTCAAGAACCGACTTCTCTGCCTACACAGATGAACGAGTACAAACAGACATGGGCGGCTAGGCAAGCGCAAATGACGGCGCAGTTACGCGACTCAGAGCACGCAGCCAAACATGCAGAGGACAAGGTCAAGGCAATGGAGCTAGAGGTATTGTTTGCATGTCGGTTGTAGGAGGGTGATGCATACATGCAGGTGTATATTTATGTAGATATGTACAGGTGTGTATTTATGCAGTTATGTACAGGTGTGTATTTACGCAGATATGTACAGGTGTGTATTTATGCAGAGTATACAGGTGTGTATTTATGCTGATATGTACAGGTGTGTATTTATGCTGATATATGTATCTTGTGTATGGGCAGGACTGTGACGTGGAAGTGGGTTAAGTAATGCAGACTATCGCATTAGCCACCACATATAGTATTCCTGAGCGCTGTTATCTCTCGCCACCATCTCCGGGACAGTTCGGAACTGGTCTTCGTGTCAGGGGTTGTATCTGCTAGGAAGGCGGCAAGAAAATGCGCATAGTTAATGTTGTGAATGGACAGGCACAGACACGTGAACACCAGCGTGTCTCCCACCACTTCGCACAGTACCACACGATCTCGAGATTGTGTGGCGTTGTTATTAGTGTTACTGTAGTTTAAAGAAGTCAGTTGTACACAGAGATTCGCATGTTATTGTTTGTATATTCGAGGGAAGTTCTGTTTCACCGTATACTCACCCCAACCATGCGAGTAGTGTTTTGTATACTGATTTCTAACGATATACAATTGTGTGCAAGCATTATAGTGTTGCATGTATATCAGGCCATACTCGTCTATGTACATACATCATGATTCTACACTTGCCAAGTACGACCATCACTCTAATACCTAACCAGAACCGAAGTATTGCATGCACATGTTTAATATATCGAATGGAAAGGTAAGATCCATATCACTTATGGAAGGATTGATGAATATTCTATCAAGTAGTGAGATTTTCCATACCCATCAAGGCTATGCAAATAATGAAGATTGTCAATTTATCCACAGAATGGTCCAAGTTTGAACTCGCAATCATCTTGACTGACTAACCGTACTGTAGTACAGTCCTCAACCATAGAAAAGTGATTGATTCGTGTGTCACAATACTTATACTAAGGAATGTCGAAGCCCGCGAACAACTAGAAGACTCTCTGCTGCATATAGAATCATACTCTCGATACAACAACCGTAGCATACTACGCTTCCTCGCCATACAGATACACCAACCGTGGCATACTACACTGCTTCGCCGCTCAGCACATGAACACATCAACCAGCATACACAAACTACACGAACAAAACATTCTTAGGTGGCCGAAGCTCACGAACAACTGGAAGACTCTCTGCTGGACAAAGAGATGGCCGAAGAGAACCTCGAGATATCGCAGTCCGAGGCCACAAGCGTGCGAGAGGAATTGGAGGCACTCAAGCTGGACTTTGAGATCATGCAGATGGAGGCTCACACCCCGGCCAATGCGGGTGATGGGGAAGGGGGGGCCTCTGCGTTGCAGGTACGTGAGTGTTGTGGATATACACAACGATATGCCTGTGTGGAAGGATACATGTGCGCATGTTTGTACGAACACGCCCTAGAACACATGCTTTGTACGTATTGATCACGCATACACACGTGCGTATGCGTATTATTGTGCGACCTCGTACTCATGTACGTATATGCCAAATGTTACTATGCTACTGTCTAAGGACTTAGTATTTTCAGACCCCAAGACTACTATGGGTAATTCTGATCGAGGCCGACAAGTACAAGGCGAGCATGTACCGTGTCACATTTGTTTCAGGCACCGAACATTTTAGCCAAAGATTTCAATTGTATTGATAATGGGTAATGGACCATGCATAGCTCATCTACCCGTATCGCTTCTGTGGCCAGTAGTTTGCGAAACAGATCGGCGTGTGCAACGCAGCAGCCACGAAGCATTCAGCTTAAACTCGCATTGGATTAGATAACTCTACTATTACTATCCAACTGAACCTAATTGAACAACTCGTATTCTGTGTGACTGTGCCATTCGTGTAGGTAAAACTATACACCGCCGAGATCGACAAGTACAAAGCCGCCCTAGTGCAGCTCAAGGACATGTCGGACACCGAGAAAAACCAGCTGACCAATCAGATCACTACGCTGGAAAAGAAAGTGACGTCACTGAGTGCTCTCGAAAGCAAGTGTGGCGAACTGGCGCAGACCATTCTGGAACAGGTGGGGGACAAATTGTGTGTGGCCGAGTGGTGTGCTTGGGTGTTCATGTGAGTAACGTATGTATGTTTTACTATCAGCTGATGACTGTGCGTATGTACGCT